TTTCGGCAATAAATCGACGACTGTCGCCGTTTTCCATTTGTCATTGTGTAATTTAAGCATTACACAACAAGATCAAACCGATATATTAGTAATAGCATAAATGGGAAAACATTTGAAAAACGAATAAAATCTTTTCCCACAATTTATTTTTTCATTATTCCACGACATGACTTTATAAATTATATGGCCGTTGTCGCCAACTCGTGCCGAAACCATTGTTACCGGGAATCCGTGACAGAGAAAACTCGGGATTAATTCTGGATCTGGAACAGGTACTCTTAAATTTTCACGAGACGATCAAAAAAACTCACTACTATAACGATTGTTACGATTTTTCGCCGTTCGTATTTCTTAACATTTATTTGATATGGAGGGACAATGAGACTATTATTGATATTATTAAAAATAATTTAATTTTTTTCTCATTAAAAAGCCTCGTTGAATTTCAAGAAGCCTGCTGCAGGAAGGAACAAATCCCGAATCTTCAGGATTGCCCCCGGATAACAATCATTTCGGCAATGAATCAACGACTGTCGCCGTTTTCCATTTGTCATTGTGTAATGTAAGCATTACACAACAAGATCAAACCGATATATTAGAGATAGCATAAATGGGAAAACATTTGAAAAACGAATAAAATCTTTTCCCACAATTTATTTTTTCATTATTCCACGACATGACTTTATAAATTATATGGCCGTTGTCGCCAACTCGTGCCGAAACCATTGTTACCGGGAATCCGTGACAGAGAAAACTCGGAATTAATTCTGAATCTGTAGCAGGCACTCTCAAATTTCAACGAGACTATTAAAAAACCCCATTACGATATAACAATTGTTATGATTTCTCGCCATATGAGCGTATTTCTTAATATCTGATTCTAACAGAAAAGAACAACAGTGAGATTTCTTCGCTTTGGTAATTGCTTCTAAAAGTACAGAAACAATCAGCGATTAAAAATGTTCTCAACTATTGTCTTCAAACGGTTATGTATATTTATTAATGTATATGTTTAAGTATAAAACGCGTGCCTTCTTATCTATACTTTAAGGTTATAATTTTTAATTGGAAATATGAATAAACTCGCCTAGAGTGCGTTCGGTTAACAAGAACATGTATCATTATCAGTAATACGTGTTATTTAAAATTATATTTTTTAAAATTATTGATATAATTTTTTTTTAACTTTAAAATAATATTAAAAAATTCTGTCCAGCGATAAAACGTTTACTGTATCTTATGTCATATTGTTTTGTCTTATTTATTAATACAATTGAAACTAATAGATAGACTTTAAAAGATTAGGATATATGCAGATGTATCGGCGCATTATACATAT